TTGAAATGAAAATTATTAAATACTTAGGACTTATTATCTACAAAACCTTGTCTTTAAAGTGCTGGAATAAATTCCCTATAGTGGAGAAGGTGTCAAGATGAGAGCATCTCTGCCGTGCATGCAGTTGTGGTCATGTCATCTCTGGAGGAAAGCTCTTACCTCCAGAAGGATGATGGTGACAAAGCCTTGCCCAGCAGTGGCAATAGATCAAATTCGCAGGCCCATATAGGTTTATGGTGGCACCTAAAGTGAGAAAGAGTGGGGAGGGTGTTCATATCGGTGATGGATTACCAAATGCTTCATCTGCACTCTCCATGATTATAGCTGGTTTATTGGTCTCCATTCGGGGTGTAAGGTGCAGGCTTCCAAAGAAATCTGACACCTTGCTTCCCAGAAAATGGGAGATTTGTGGTTAACTGCAATGTTAAGCTGCTTTGATGATGCATGAAGTTTTAAGTTGCATGAAGTTTATGAAATAGAAAATAGAAAGCTACGAAATAGTGTTTTTCTTTTAACTTCTCCCAGTTTACAGTGTTGCAGGTAAGCAAGAACAAAGCGCTGCGTGTTTGCACTTGCCTCGAGCCTGCTCGTGTGCGAAGCTGCCTTCCCCAATCTAGCGTGCAGCTCATGTCAATACACTTTTTTTTTTTCCTTCTCTTTTTTAACAAGATTCTGTGTTTCCCAGCCATGACCTGGCATCAGCTACTAATAAAAATGAAGAGATGCTTGTTTTTCTGCCTGCCACAGTCATTACTTTCTAGGAATTCTTGTACTGTAGGATCCTGAGCAAGACTCATTTGACTTTTGATATTTGTAATGCTGAGTTGCAAACATTACTCACCTATACTGAATTCAAACTAAGAGTCTACAGGTAAAAGCTTCAGCAATTTCTTCAGCAATCCAGGATCTGCTTAGTTTTTGGAATGGAAGTTTTAGTAAGAAAAACAAATGAACCAGCTGTTTCTTGAGCAAATGTATTACACACGGACACTTAAGTTCCTTAAATTAGTTAGTCTCGTTGCAATGCTAGGGTTGTTTTTTTTTTTTCTCTTCCCCTAGCAAGTCTGTCTGGAGAAGAGGAAGAAGAGAGAAGAATCTATTTGATTTCTATGTTTGGGATGCCTTTGAGCAGTCCACCTCAAAATTACTCAAAATTTTAAGTACAAGGAGCATAGGGAACAGGCGAAAATATGTTTTTTCATGATGAGAGAATGGCCTTAAAGAAATACTGTTTAAATGCATTAAAGGCTTCTTATGTCTTTGGGTGAGTGTGAGCTTATATACCTGATTTCAGTAATTCATGCAGAGGTTTGCCTTTTTGCAGTTTAGATCTTTTAAATTGCTAATGCCTTTACATGCAAAAAGGACAAGTGCATCAGAAATTTAAGCTGTTTAGGGACAGAAATGGTATCTAAGGCACACTTTTAGCATTTTCCCTTCCCAAGCTAGAGAAATATCTCCAACCTAAGAAACTCATTAAAGCGAAGTTTTATGGCCTTTGAAGTAATTCATTTCAAAATGTTCCATATGCTCGATGATCACATCTGCTTGTTTTTCTGCCCAAAACTCAAGCTCTGTCATACCTGGATAACAACCAGCAAAAGGCTCTGTTTTGCACTTCTTTCCAGAAGACTGTATTACTTTCTTTGAAAATTCTTCCAAAAAATAATGTCTGCTGTGATAGAATTGCATTTTATCCTTGGTTTTGGCTGACTGGAGTCAAGCCTATAAAGATAGCTGGTAACTGTTGCAGGATCAATACTGAGCAGCCCCAGAGTTGAGCAGTGCCTTTAACTGTGAAATTCTCAGAAAATGCACTGGTCAGTGAGCTCCTCAGAGATGCCTTAGATTTCACAACACCTTAATTCTTTTCCCAGGAACGAATAAGAGAAAGCTGTGGGGTTTTGGTGGTTTTGTTTTATCAACATCTTCCCCCAAAGGCAGTTTTTTTCATGTTCCTACTGAGACATTTTGGGGCCTGAGTTTATTAAAGTAACATTAACATCTAGAGGAGTGTTTAAGTAGACAAAGAATACTTAAATATATGAAATACGGATAGGCTTAGATTTTTCCTGCTTCCTTAATAGCCTTGTAAAAGTCTTCTAGTAACCCCTTGGGGACAGAGGAAAGGACATGCAGTAGCCTGTGAGAGTGCAGGAACTGAGCCATCCCCTCAGTTGGGTTGCCTTTTTTCTTCCCAAGTTTAAGGGAGACTGGATCCTTCCTCTGCCTTAACCGGCTGCTGCAACCCTTGTTGCCTAGGTAACAAGGAAACCTTAAAA